CTGCTTCTTCTTTGCTCTACTCTTATTGAACTTGTAGCTAAATTCTCGTTACACATCGCTCAAAGATTCTAATAAGGTCATGTTATGTGTCTTTGGGTTCAATTCTATGTCCATGTCGTTTAATAGGAAGAATTTCAGACCAATCAATTAAAAGAAAATCTGTTCAACTATTACCAATTGATTTAAGATTAGATGCTCATATGGTATTCAAGCCCACTTGTTTCTTTTCAACTCACGTTAACACAGCCCTGATTGTTCAACAGAACTTGGTTGTTCACTATATTAGCAACCAACCTGAGATTCAGTTGTCTTCTTTTCAGCATCTACTTGTAATGGGATTGAAATCCCAGCATAGTCAACGTCTTGTTTGCATATTTGTATTTGTAATTAGAGGGATGGAATTTTATTGTGTTTGCTTGGCTTCTTTGTATTATAATCCTAGAATCTGAATTCAAGGGTGAGACCTGTTAATCTTGTGTTTACCTAGAATTTTGTTTCATAAATTTCATCCACTCATATATTCAGCTATAACTCTCTCATGTTTCATTGTTTGGTTCTTCATCTTCCTTGGAGGTGTCATGATTTTTTTCTTTATGGAGTTATTATGAACTCCCGTGGAACTTTGATTTGTTTGTGGTTGTGGACCTTGTGGTGTTCTTTCTATTTGACTTGATTGCCTGGCTGTAATAGTATTGGAGAACCAGCTTGTTTTTAACTCTAGCTATCAGCATCTGGTTGAATTGCTGTACATAAGAGAAAAGAATCAACCTAATCATCCAATTTTTTTGTTTTCTTTTCAGCAGAGGACTGAAGCTTCACTCCAAAGATGGAGATAACCAACGTAAACGAGTATGAGGCCATCGCAAAGCAGAAGTTGCCAAAGATGGTGTTTGACTATTATGCATCAGGTGCAGAGGACCAGTGGACTCTGCATGAGAATAGAAATGCATTCTCAAGAATCCTGTGAGTAACCTATCTCTGTCTTTAATGCCTGTTTCTGCAGTAAACACTTAATCCTGTGACCGTGACTATTATGCATCTTGAAGTATTCATTTTTTCAGCATTCTTATTTCCTTTTTCTGAGTTATTATCTGCTAAAACACTTTCTTTCAATGATGTATAGGTTCCGCCCCCGTATTCTGATTGATGTTAGCAGGATAGACATGAGTACCACTGTCTTGGGTTTCAAGATATCAATGCCAATCATGATTGCACCAACAGCCATGCAGAAAATGGCCCACCCAGAAGGTATATGACCGTTGGTCTAAGTTGGTCATCTAAACTGAACTTTCTTATTGATTGTGTCTAGTAGTTTGACGAGGCTATTGAATGCAAGTGTGAGTCAGGTTCTTTTGGTTTTATTTATCTTTTTAGATAGGAAAAATAGAAAGCTTGGAGTAGTGCTTCCATGAAGTGATCTGCAATGTCATCAGCTTCGTTTTTCATTCATCTTGATTTTTCATAGAAGCTGAATTTAGGGAAAGTATTGTCATCAGATCATGTGTTGTCTAATATGCTTTTCAAATGGTAGTTGTTCTGTGTCTCTTCTGCTTTATTATTTTGAAATACTGATTATCTTGGCAATACAGTGACAAGATTCTTTATTGTGTAGGGGAGTATGCAACAGCTAGAGCTGCATCTGCAGCTGGAACAATTATGGTTTGGCATCCTCCTATAACATTCTTTTTTAATACTTTGGCTAACCCACAAATTTTGAACACTAGCCACTCTCTTTACTTCTTTCTTCCCTTTTTTGTGGGGGGAGGGGTTAGGAATTGTCTATCTGACCCATTTGAGAAGATTTTAGTCTAATCACGCATCGTTCAGTTAGTAGGTTACTGTCACTTTTTTCATTCTGCATTGCCTTTCTCAAGGAAATTGATTGCATATTGGCATCGTTTGTAAACCACTTCCTAATTGTTTCAGACATTATCCTCATGGGCTACTTCTAGCGTTGAGGAGGTTGCTTCCACAGGACCTGGCATTAGGTTCTTCCAGCTCTATGTAAGCATGAAGTGATATTTTTGTGTTCTTAAGCATTCAGTTGACAGCTTTCTATCTATGAGGCTAAAGTTTTAGGCCTTACGAGCTCCATTTTATGATCAAAACTTTAGGTATACAAGGACAGGCACGTAGTTGCCCAGCTCGTCAGGAGGGCTGAAAGGGCTGGTTTCAAGGCTATTGCTCTTACAGTTGATACCCCAAGGCTGGGTCGCAGAGAAGCTGACATCAAGAACAGGTGGAACCTTCAAACCAACCTTAATATCCACTTGAAATATCTTGTTATGAAACCACCTAATTACGCTTTTAGTTCTTTATGTACGAATGTGAAGTTATAGGTCCAAAGTATTTCATCATTGTTTGCAGATTTACTTTACCTCCATTCTTGACATTGAAGAACTTTGAAGGCTTAGACCTTGGCAAGATGGACAAGGTGAGGAGCAACTGTAGCTGTCACTTACTAACGGTAAATATCTACATAATCTGGCGATTTTTTAAGATTCTTAATTTGTTTTGTGGAACTATATATGCAGTCTAACGACTCAGGGCTTGCTTCATATGTTGCGGGGCAAATCGATCGCACCCTAAGCTGGAAGGTATGTATGTGGATCGATGAGGAGCTTCTGTTGGATATGCACCTAACTCAGACCTCAGTTGAAATGAACTCTTTTTGGATTTGTATAGGATGTTAAGTGGCTTCAGACCATTACCAAACTGCCAATTCTGGTGAAGGGTGTACTCACTGCTGAGGATGGTAAAAATTTTTAAAGACTGAACTCCTGGGTATTTCACTCCATTTTGACATTGTACCGATGCTTGAACAATTCTTCCATGCTGGTATTGTAGCAAGGATAGCAGTACAAGCTGGAGCAGCAGGTATCATTGTTTCAAATCATGGAGCTCGGCAACTTGATTATGTCCCTGCAACTATCATGGCACTGGAAGAGGTGCATCAATATTTCATTCTTATTTCCATTCATCAAAAGGTACCACACAGCCATTGAAGCTCACAAATTCGTTCAACTTTCAGGTTGTCAAAGCCACACAAGGGCGTGTGCCAGTCTTCTTGGATGGTGGTGTCCGGCGTGGCACGGATGTCTTCAAAGCATTGGCACTCGGAGCCTCTGGCATATTTGTAAGTATACAAGAAATTCATCTCTTGAAAATCAAATTACATATTTACTTGAAGGGAAAATTTTTGTTTTTAATAAAAATAGAATTTCATTGATAAATGAAAATCGTAGGGCTACAAAAACAACCAAATGGCGTAGTACGCTAAAAGAATTACACTCATAAAAATACATTTTGGAGGGGAAGTGTTAATTGTTCATTGAGCTAATTTTGAATTCTTATTAATTTTTCACTGAAATAATCTCATCCTGTCCTCTTCAAAATGTTTTCTGCTATATAAAATTGGCACTGTGGCACTGGCTAACTAAAGATAATTCTCACATGGCTACGTTCTGAATCCCAGATTGGACGACCTGTGGTCTTCTCGTTGGCTGCTGAAGGAGAGGCTGGGGTGAGAAAAGTACTTCAAATGCTGCGTGAAGAGTTCGAGCTAACAATGGCACTGAGTGGCTGCACCTCACTCAAAGAAATCACTCGCAATCATATTGTCGCAGACTGGGACGCTCCTCGCCCTCTTCCTCTCCCCAGGCTATAAAATTCTGTGGCTGAGGAGTGTGGACAACACTGCATGCATTTGGCCAGTGTGCTGTTGAATTGCTTAATTTTATTTGATGACATCAAGAGCCCAGCCTTAATATTTATTTAAAGAACATGTTTCAGTCAATGAATTTTTAAGCTTCTATAATGATGATCATGGCTACTGCTGCCTTCATTGTATATTCTTATTTAAAACAGCTAATACATCTAGTTTTGCTTGAGTTTATGGCTATTTAGAATATATATATATATTAGGAAAATATGCGTCGGTCTATTTTAAAAGAGATTTGGAGTCTAAACTTATGGTTATTTTAGGAAAGTATGCATCAATTCTACCTCTAAAAAAAATTGGAGTCTAAGCTTAGCTTATGACTATTTAGAATATATATATATATATATAGCATTTGTTTAGCTTGATCTAAAGAGCTAGCCATTAATGTAAGCATGTATAGTGGGAGGTGTCTTCTATTATTCATTTCAAAAATAAAATAGAGTCAAAACTTTAACCTATTAAAATTTTATTAGAATCCTATTATAAAAGACAGTCATCTCTTTGTGAAAACACAACTCTCTTTTCTTTTTGGCTTTTTAAACTCTATTTTAAGTTTTGCACTTCCTGACATTAAGTCATATGGTGCAGATTTTCAATTATTTGTCATTTTGATCAACGGCTGGCATTTTTTTTTTTTCAGTTCAAATTATGACCCCACGAGAAACCTTTACCATTACCGATATTTTGCGGGCGGCCTATGTTAAATTTTGTTATGTTTAGTTAGTAAAGATCTATTTCTCGCATTGGTGACTAAGATTTGACCTTTATGTTAAAAGGCTGTACCTCCACATAAAATTGCCAACTCTAGTCATATAAATATTCCACAATATTAAAGCTGAACTCAACAAGATCGCATAAACTCTATTTTTTCTTCACCATTCCTACAAATTTTATACTTCAATAAAATAGGACAAGTATGCGGAAGCATATGCAAATGTTTGACAAACCAGAACAAACTGGATCTAGAAGAATCGGCCCTATGGTGGATTTAATTTTCATTAAATGTAACAATAACATTGAAGGAATTAATAAATATGGATGAGGATCAAAATTGCTGCGTTATTGTTTACACAGGCTTAATGCAAGCCTAATATGATAAAAATTTTCACACGCCAGTGTAAAGATGTAGGGAGGAACCGGCCTAGCAAAATGAATTCCAACAAGAAAACAGAATCAATTTAGATAACTCCACAACCAAGTTCAACATTCTATACGATTTTAGCTTTGTAGACAAATTTAAACCAGTATCTTTGGTCTCCATTGCCGGTGTCACTTGGACTCCAGAAGATAAAGACATTTGTGGCCAACAATAGACTGTGTTTCATCATTCAATAAAGATTCGGAGCCTTCTTCCAGGATAAATGTCAGGAACCTGCATTGGGAGCTAGCTCAATATGATTACGTGTAAAGCAAATGGCTGCTCTCAAAAATTAACAAATGAATAATAAAAATTAAAACAAATAGTTTTAGGAATGAAAGAAGAAAATCTTGTCCTAAAAATCCAAGATGATGCATTCAATTGTTTATGAACATGTAGACAAAAATCACAAAACGTAAAGTTCATACCAATCAGTAAATAAAGGACCCATAACATTCAATCCTCCTCCATAGGTACTTCTGGAATATCAAACCTGTCTTCCTCAATGGTTTTATTGATAACAGAAACAGGAGATGGTAATACCAAGTCAAGGAAACAAGGAGATCAACACTCATAAACTTTTATGGTGAAGCAGATATTCTGAGTTGAATCTTGAGACTTAAAAGCTAACAATGCTAACTTTCATGATTCAATTTGATCAACAACATAATTGATTTGAACTAAAAGTCTATTGCAGAACACTTGAGTTAGGTATGCATCCATTGGGCCTGCTTTAGATTTACAAAAATCTTTTCCGTCAACTTTCCTACATATTTACTCATTCTAATGTGAAATGAAATCCATTGATGGGCAAATTACTCATTTACTCTCCCATTTTGTGCTAAAGAATTGACTACTTTTAATGGTAAGAAATGAAAACTGCACTTAGTGCAATAAAACTTAGAAGAATTATGCCCAGAAACACTGCAGAAAAATAAACTATTAAAAGAAAAAAGTATGGGAGGTTGAACCCTTAAATGCAAAGGATATTCATTAGCATAAGATCGTCCTCCTTTTCACCACGATTGCGGCTGTTATCTAGCTCCCTCAAAATTTCAGGAGTAACCTACATTTAAAGAGGGCATAAGAACCATTTGTTGCCACATAATTATATATGCAAAGCTACTAAGCTAGAGCTCATGAAGAGAGAGATGCCTGCAGTGTATGGGATTATGCACTTACTAATTTATGCTTCTGCTTTTGAAGTAGAATTCTAAGGTTATCTTTATCTTCCTTCTGCAATTCGTTTTTGTACCTACAAGAATATAACAGATTGCATGTAATAACAATCTGAATATCAAGTCGATTCATTTTTGTGCAATACAGTATAGTGCACAAATTTAGTCCAATCCCAGCTTCCCAGGCTTAAACTTGTTACAAAAGAATATGTCATTAAATCCAACAAACTCAGGGCAATTGGGTTAGGAGTCAAGCTTGAGCAATTGAGCTCTATAAAACTTTTTCAACCGTAGGCTGAGAAAACAGGATAAGCCAGTCAAGCTTGAGCCTGGGTCTTAGTAACCAGGCTCAGACTTTTTCATTTTTACATCTAATTTCCAAAAAAATCAATATGATTTTTACTGACCTTTGAACAAATGCAAGAAGCGATTGGTGCCATATCACAGGCATTATTCTTGTATCTTCAAGAAATCTCATGAAATGGGCAACTAGAGCATCAACTACACTGTATGGTAGAGCATATTTCTTCTCCAAAAGTAGCTTTATGAAATAACTGCAACAGGTCATCAACATAACAATTACTAAGGCAGAATATTTTGCTAACTTTAATTAATCATGAAATAAAATAGCCACCCTTCAGATTACTAATCTATACCAGAGTAGTCAAGGCACATGTCAAGGCACTGAGGCTGCTCTGTTATTCGTGTCTCCGATTTTATTTGGAAAAACAGAGGACAAGCTGCTCAAACACAGCCAAGCACCTCAGGCAATGCATGGGTCTAGCACCTTGAGGGCACCTTCCGCCTTTGACTACATTGATCCATACATTTTCAACAACACACGAAGCATGTATATAGAACCCAAGTTACAAATAATGCATTGAGAAAAGTTGGACAATTTTGATAATGCCTTCATAGGACCTCTTCTTATTATGTTTTTATACTTCATATCTTTGTTACTTCCCTAGTAGTTCTGCATGTACGCATGCTACAACTTGCTATGTTTTAGGGAGTCATGAGAACCAACTTCTTGATATTTCACATCATTCAGTTGAATACTCCATATACCATATACAGTCAGCAGGATAACTCTATCTATATTATTCTAACAACAAAGAAATGCCATGAACAGACTTTAATGTTTTTTCCAGCATGATTAAACTCAATTCTTAAAAACATACAGGCATGTCAAATAAAAGAAAAAAAAAAAAGGGAAAAAAAAAGCCTTAGTGTGTGGTAGTTGTCAGCCACATAAATACCTTGTTGTGCCACAATATTCTGTCTCCGCAAGTTTCTTCAATGCAGCACTGGAATTCCATTCAACGGTCCAAATTAGTAAACAGAAGAAGCATCCTAAATTAAATTAGTCAAACAATCTAGAAAGTGACAACTACACAGACCCAATGCTACAATGAACAAGTCAAAACAACAAACCCCATCAGCCAGAGTGCCAGATCGTCATGTCCTTAGATAAATTAGACATATTAAGAATATCCAATTAACAAAATCTTTGTTTCAGCCCCCATTACAAACCTAAACTAGTACATTAGTAATAAAGATAACCAAGCATTTAGGCAAAAGAGAAACACATTAATCATCACTTATGTTACAGCCATCTGCAAAATCCCAACTTGAAATTCCCACTTGTGAAATTGTACCCCTACTCGTACTTTCAGAGTCTTATTTAAGGGTTATTTGTCAATGGTCCCATTGTATTCACAACAAATACTATCAAACTGTGTTAGATAATATGAAGTACGGTTCTTTGATTTAAGGACAACAGTAAACAAAATGTCTAACAAAAAAAAGATAATATTTCTTTATTTTCCGACAAAGACTAAAAATAATATCAAAGTCTAGAATTTTGATTAAGAATTTCAATTCCTCCTAGTCAACATACATTACACAAATAAAAAATTGACCATACCCTGAGTGAAGCACAGGAATGGAGACTTTTTGAATTATGCTCCCAATGATAACAGCTTCCCTGAGATTGCATGTCCCCGACTGAACATGAGGAAGAGCAAGACCATCATATTAAAAATCTAAAACAAAGACTATCATAAATCAATATAGACAGAAAATATGAAGCATCATTCTTTTTTAATTTTAAATAAACGATTTATGCAAATTGAAAATCACAAAATCAATTATATACTACAAAATTTGAATTGTTTGATAACATTAGCTGATAAAAACCACAAATGACGGAACTCCTACATCAAAGTTGTAGGTAAGTTTAAAGGAAACCACCAACGTATGGTTGGTTATAGAACAGGATTGAGGGAGTGTTAAAAAACACAATTGCCTCTTCACCATCACACCATCCAATGCATGCATAAATTCCACAATTCCATAGCACTCTTTCATGTATTTGAAAAGAATCATGTTTTGTCCAAGACAAAGTCTGGTCAGATATTCTTTCTGAGCGAATGAATGGCACCAACAAGTGTAAACCATGTGAATATAGGGCATCATAACATGATTCAAGCAATTACTAGTCAGACAGCTATTCACTCATAAGCTAACTACTGTCATTGAAAATGATCAACAAATGCACTTGAAATTGTGCAAATTATAAGAAAAATAGCCAGAACATACATATAATTTAACCAAAACATACATATACAAAATCATTCTTCAAGCTTGTGAGGGAGAAGCATACCATACACAAAGGAAATAATATTCCCCTGTTGAATGCAGCAGGTTTGTACAGAGCTTTCTTCAAAGACTGATACAGAGCAAAGTGAAGTCGTTTATTCTTCTTGATATCATCCCTGACGCGAGGAAGCAAGACTAGGCTATAGAATCGTTCTGCCCTCTTTGCACTCAAATTGGAAGCAAATATACGAGTGGCTTGAAACATTGCATTTGGAGACCATTTGTCAGGCTCAGTCAAATACAAAATATCTTCCCAACATTGCAGTGAGGGAATGTGTTTAAAAGCTTTGGGCATTTTTCCTGCTGTATATTTATGAAGAAACTTGCCAACTCTGCACATATTGCAAATTCAAAAAAAAGGGTGAATTCCACCAAATCCATTACAGAAGTAAACATTAAATTGATAGTAAGGCAGCGCTTCATAGGGAAGATGAAACAGTGAAAAAGAAGTTGCTTGGTCAGATGGATATCCTATGCAATGCTATCTCTGTAGCACAGTCATTCACCTACAACATGTTCTACCCTTGAACCTTTTTATGGTCCCTCCCAAGCATAGCCCATGAAAAATACCTCTCGTGGTTCTAAATGGAAAATCATGTGTGGAAAATTGTTCTTAGGTAACAAAATCAGGCAAGGAAAAGTTATATTACCCTTGGTACAATTCAATAATGGAGTTATCCAATTTGGGCAGCAATGGACCTTCTGCCAACAAAATAAATTAAAATATTTTAACAAGATAAAAGATAAAGATGCATCCAGTCCTCGTAATAAAATTTGAAAAAAACACACTTTTTTATTCAAAAACTTACCTGAGGAAACATTTTCATCTTTCTCTTTTATTTTTTCAATAATAAGATCAGCAAGTGTCTTCTGGGGACCAGAATCCTTTGACAAAAATGCCTCTAGCAACTTCTCATCCTCCTCGTCAATCTCCTCCTGTGATATCCCATGAAAAATCAACACCGTGCTTCTAGTTTTCATCCACTTTTTATTCTATTTTTTAAAGATATTTGTTTTTTCATCTAAAAAGTCTCCATAGTGGAATAATTGAGATTTTGTGCAAGTGATGTGCGTGTGTATCCTAGCTCTATACCATCTTTAAAAAAAATGGTGAAACAGAAAAGTTGCATTCATTCATTCAACAATTTGTGAAGTGTGAACTAAATAGTTACTTCATAATTGCCGAATTGGCTTTGAGTCTCTGAGAATCCTCCGAAGTCGTCAATATCTCCCTCATCATCGTGCTTATTCCGTTCTTCTCCAACCGAAGCAAACATCTCGTTGAGGCGGCTTCCTTCAGCCTCCTCCTCTTCGAGCTCCTTCTGCTGAAGTAGCGCTTCCTTCAAAATTTTCGAGCTCATCCCAACAGAAATCATCTGAAAAACACACATAAGAGAATTAATCTCCCTTAACATTGGATAGTAGAAGATTAGATAAGCGAAAGCTAAAGGTCATTACTTTCTCTTGCTTCTGATGCTGTTTGGGTGCTTTGGACCGCTTCTTGGTGCTGACGCCGGAGTCTTCATCTTCGGCGAGGAAAGCCGGCCGGTTTTGGCTTCGCTCCCTCTTTTTCCCCATTGAAAAATGATGAAAGTAGACCGAAGATTCAGAGAGAGGCGAACAGAAAAACCCTACTAATGCGGCGAAGGAAGTAAAACCCTCGAGAGTCGGGTCAGGTATTTTGCACATCCGGGTCGGAAATAAAGGTTTTTTTTTTCTCTAATTTTCTTTTTATATTTTTGTTTGTTGGCTAAGATTTTATGATCTATATACAACAACCTTCAATATTTCTTGATAAATTATAAAAAGAGAAAAAGGAAAAATTATTATATTTTAGTATTAAATATATAATAATACTTAATTATAATTATTAAATATATAAGATATGATGGGAGTTTTATTATAACTATTAAATGAGTGAAGTAGCCAACCGGGCCTGTAGCCCAATTGGTTGGCCCCCAAACTTTAGAGTTTGGGTGAGGCGGAGGTAAGGACTTCGAACTCTGCCACCGTCGTGAACTCCACCAACTTGCGACCTAATGGTCGTGCGCCTCAAATGAGGGGTGGAACGTTCACTTTCTTAAAAAAATTTCAGCTGTTAACAAACTAACTCTACTAACTTCCTAACCATTTACTTGGTGAAGTATAATATAAATTTTAATTTTATTAAAATTTTCATATAACTATTATTAAATATTCTAATATTTCTGATATCAAAACATACTAATTAATACTTTTTCTTTTATAAAAATAAAAAAATTTTAAAAAAATTCATAAGAAATTAGATTGATTAAGTGTAAAGTCATCTCGAATGAGTACATGGTAACAGCTCTTATTTGATCAAACTATGAAAAAGAAAATTAAAGTTTAAGTGACTTTAGGAAATCATCTAGGCTCTATCTTGATTGTTTAAAAAAGAAAGACATTAAGGTTTCATTATTCCTAGTTTTTAACGAAAGATTCTTAATTTTAACTTGTTTTTATGTTTTGATCAAATAATAGCCACTACTATCAACCAAACAAATCCTTAATGTTGATAATTTTGTACTAAATTTAGGTATGAATGAGGGATGTATTTCTTTCAATTTTTAAGGAATAGGTATTAATTATTTAATAATATAAAAGAAAAATTAAATATTAAAAGTATATTTGGTTGGGGAGAGTGTTTATTCTCCCCTAAGCTAAGAAAGTTTAAAGACATTTTACTGTTTTCACACTTCAATAGCATATGAAATAAAAGGCAAAATTAGCATTTTTAGTCTTTCTTTTTTATAATACAATTCTCAATTTGCAATCTTTTCTTCTCATGGCTTTTGAAGTAAAATTTCCCTTAACTTTCTCAATGTGGAGCAACTTGACAACTTTCTCTCAATTTTTCTAACATCAATTTCTTATCAAATATAAAAAAATCAACAATCAAGTAAAACTTTAACAAAATTTTAATATAAAATTTATCAACTTTTTATATAATACTTTTCCAACCACTTTTCTTATAAAAACTTTTTTTGTAAAGTTGACATCTAACTAAATAGACTTTAAAACTAGTTATTTCTAGTTTCTTATAAAAGTTTCTCAATTTTAAGTTGTTGTTATAGTTTGATAAAGGAATAATCATTATCATCAACTAAACATGCTTTTAAATTAGGTTTGATATCCAAATTACTCCACACTTGTTAAGAAGTTTATTCAGCCTTGCAAGTCGGTTTCGGACGCCCATAGAACGACATGACTCAAATCTAACCAACCAATTTGGGATGGTTTTATAGAGTTTGGACACCAATATTATTAGGCTCATGCTTGACCTCGAGATCTAGCAAAAGATTCAAAATTGAATATTGTATGTTATACGCCAGTCTCAAGTTCTACTATCTTATCAAATTAAGTTGAAACTTAAGTCACTTTCTAAATAAGGTAAAGCCACTCCTAATGATATT